GATCAAGATGTAATATGTATTTATTTTATTTGTACTCAAGTTGTAAAACCACATTATGTATGACATTTCATTTGATCTATGCGCAGCTCTTATGGACTAATTAGATTTAAATATATTACTTCCGCACATGTAAGCCCTATATGTATACTCTTATTATGTGTAAATCTTTGTAAGTTAGCCTTTGGTAATCTCGGATTACTGGCCATCACGGCACCATTCTACAAGGGGCGGAATGGGGTCGTGACAGCTCTATTCTTTCACTTTCGCATTCATCTCTTTCCATCTCTCGATTCAGAGTTTCTCTCTCTAGATTCCATAGCCAAACCTTGAAACCCTTCTACGGTTGCTTACGTTCCCTGTTTCTGGTAACCAAAACGGCATTTGGTGCCGATCAAACGCAACGACCAACTCTGGTGAGCACATATGAGAAAAGGGTGGGAAACACTATCCGGAGAAACTGGCTCCTCGCGAACTGAGAGGTCTCTTGTCTTTGTAACACGTCTGTGTGTTGTGTCTTTTGTTTCGTTTACCTCAACTTTTGTTTTGAGTCTTTTTCGAGTGTTACTCGATGTGTTTAGGTCGTGTACCTTTTGTTGAGTCATAGTATGCTGTGTTCAGTTGTAGGCTTAATACCCGTTTGAGAACTTATTTCTCAATTTCAATCAAATCGTTTTGTGCTCGGAGTGCTGTGCCATTCTCCACATTTGTGCAAAACAAGAATTTTTTCTTTCTTAAAACCGCAGGGTTCAACCCAAGTCATGTCAGAACAGTTAAACAAGGGCCTATCTGAAGCTATGTAGGTTCCAAACTGCAAAGCAAAAGAAAAAAGGAAAATTTGAAGCATCCTAGGGTGTTCCAGCTTTGGCAAGATCCGAGACTGCATTTCAGGTGCACCTTCCCAGACCTCGCCATTTCTCTGGAGTATGAGTGTATCTCGACCCCAAGTGTAAGCCCGCTTCAGGTCAGAATGGCAATTAAAGTAGCAGCAGATGTTATCTCTTGCCAACATAAACAGGGTGTGCCCTTTTTAAGCTGAGTGTGTTACAAAGTCCTCCGAAAGGTAAATTGGAGGCACCAGAGTACATGTTTGATGCCTTTCCATTGCATAGAATGTGTACTTTCATATACACTTCTGTTACATGTGTGCCGCGCATCGTTATGATTTATGCATAGAATATGCTTTCAATATTGCATAGAATATGCTCCTGTTTCTAGCATAGAAAATGCTCGTATCTTTTGCATAGAAAATGCACTCTTCCATACTTGCGTAGAAAATGCACCTCATTTGCATAGAACATGCATTCGCTCACACTGTCTTGTGCACTTACACTTTGTATCTCACTAGCACTGTCTTGTGCATCTTGTGGTTGTATCTCAATCGCACTATTTTGTGCATTGCATATCAATCGCGCTGTTTAGCGTATCGCACTGTCTTGTGCATTTCAAAATCAATCGCGCTGTTTAGCGTATCGTACTATTTTGTGCATTGCATATCACTCGCGCTGTTTAGCGTATCGCACTATCTTGTGCATTTCAAAATCACTCGCGCTGTTTAGTGTATCGCACTGTCTTGTGCAATTCAAAATCAATCGCACTGTTTAGCGTATCGCACTGTCTTGTGCATTTCAAAATCAATCGCGCTGTTTAGCATATTGCACTATTTTGTGCATTGCATATCACTCGCGCTGTTTAGCGTATCACACTGTCTTGTGCATTTCAAAATCAATCGCGCTGTTTAGCGTATCGCACTATTTTGTGCATTGCATATCAATCGCGCTGTTTAGCGTATCGCACTGTCTTGTGCATTTCAAATCACTCGCACTTTCTTGCACATCGCACTATTTTGTGCAGTTTAATCACTCGCGTTGTTTAGCGTATCGCACTGTCTTGTGCATTTCAAAATCAATCGCACTGTTTAGCGTATCGCACTGTCTTGTGCATTTCAAAATCACTCGCACTGTTTAGCGTATCACACTGTTTAGTGCACTTCAAATCACTCGCGCTACTTTGCGTATCGCACTGTTTTGTGCAGCTACATTTGCGCTATTTTGCGCACCTCAATCTCACTGTTTTGTGCAGTTTATCATTCGTGCTATTTTGCGCATTGCACTGTTTTGTGCAGTTTACATTCGTGCTATTTTGCGCATCGCACTGTTTTGTGCAGGTGCAGTTTACACTCGTGCTTAATTCGCGCTATTTTGCGCATTGCACTGTTTTGTGCAGTTTATAATTCGCGCTATTTTGCGCATTGCACTGTTTTGTGCAGTTTATAATTCGCGCTATTTTGCGCATTGCACTGTTTTGTGCAGTTTATAATTCGCGCTATTTTGCGCATTGCACTGTTTTGTGCACCTTACTTGCATTTTGCATGCATCCTATCGCGCTATCTTGCGCACCTCACTTGTACTTGTTAGTACATTACATTGTTTTGAATACAAACCGGCTTCGCGTAGCGTATAAGTCCAATTGTCAAAGTCTTCTTTCATATCATTTGCATCCTGCCCCTGAACTACGCTGGTTTGATTCCTTGCAAAGGGATACGTAGGCAGCCTGCGGGCACAACCATTCATTCATTTGTATTTTGTTTGTTTGTCCAAGTCTTCGGCCTTGTCAAAAATAGGTCGTCTCTGGGCTTTGACATTCACTCCCGTCATTCTTATGACTTCCGAGTTCTGTCAAAGAGGGGCAACAGTAGACACCACATTTTTGACAGCCCATAAGACCTGGGCATTACTGATGGTTTACTTGGTGATAAAAGGTGTGCAGGGCAATGATCCAGTTTCTTTGGCAAGGAGAGAGACAAGTCTCAAATTCACACCCCGTTTTGGACCAAAGCTATTTTGGATGGTTTTTAGACCTTAAAACACTCTCTTTCAAAACGTTTTTGAAATAAAGTTTCTGCGATGTTCCGAGGCTCGCATTTTGGATGGTTTTTAGACCTTAAAACACTCTCTTTCAAAACGTTGCGCTTTTCGGTAAACCGAGCAGGGACGAAGTGGAAATGAATGAAAGAGAGATGAAATCTTTGAAAAATCTTTCAAAACACCTTGCTTAGGGGTTTGAAGTTGAAGAAAGGAGGGGAAGAGAGAAGAAACCAAGTTGGAGGAGAAGACAGACATACAAGAATTAACACTTTTGGCAACAAAAAAATTGGTCGCTAAAAGTCTATTTTTGGTCGGCAAAAGTTATCCGCGACCAATTTTTTTGGTCGCTACTTTGGTCGCCAATTGAGGGTCGGCAAAAGTAATTCGCGACCAAAATTGTTGTTGGTCGGCAAAAGTTGGATTTTGCCGACTAAATTTTTGGTCGCTAAATATTTAATTACCGCGACTAATTTATTTTGTCGCCAAAACACTTTGGTCGCGAAAAGTGATATTTTCCCGACCAAATTTCTTAGTCACCAATTGTCACATTTCGCGACCAAAAATTTTGGTCGCCAATTATCACATTTCGCGACCAAAAAAATTGGTCGCCATTTGTGTCTTTTCGCGACCAAAACTTTTTGTCGGCAAAAGTGAGATTCCACGACCAAGAGCTGTTTTGGTCGGCAATACATGTATTTTTTGCGACCAAAACTCTTCGTCGGCAATTGTCATTTTTTGCAAAAAAAAATTATTTATTTGTCCCGACTAATAAATTGGTCGCCAAAAGAAAGAAAACAATACACCTGTAATTCCTAATAATTCATTCAATCCATAATAAACCTATAATTTTAAAGCATCATCCATGATGTGAATGACACAATGATTCATCACATCCCTTTCATCGTTCATGAGACCTAAGACTTTACAAATTTTGAAAACTAGGAGTGACAGAAGTCTAGTAAGGCTAAAGGGTTGATTTACCTGGAAGAGAGTTACAAAACCAGGGATCAAAAGTAAAAGAGAAGAAAAGTAGCCAATCATATGTAAAGTGGAAGAAAAGAATAATCAACTTTGCCTTCTAAACTAAATATGTCATTCTTGTGCTAATGGTCATGGGAGATCATGAAGAATCCAACTTAAGAACCCATATCTCTTGTAAGAGCATGTACGACATGCTGACAGAAATCTACAAAAAACAAACAAAATTTAAATGAAATCTTACCACAGTCAAAGACAAAAGCTAAGAAAATAGAAGAATATATTATTATGGAGGAAGAAGAAGCAACAAGAGATTCGAGCAAGTACCTCATTAGCATCAACAACAAGCCCATTCATCAAGAGGCAGCTTTGGAGTTTAACTAAACCCAGCTTAAAAACAAACATGGAGCTCTCTTGAGATAGTTCAGTGAAAGTTTGCTTTGTTTCCAGTTTTAGTAAAGCATCTTGAGGTGGAGATTTAGCCTTTGGTCTACAGAATATAAGTACATTTGAGTGGTAGACTACTAAAAGGAACAATCAACCAAAAGAAATTAAGAACATCTACTTCAACCTCAATTGGACATAACAAGACGATGATACAATAATCAACTCTTAAATATGCATGCAGAATGATCAGAAACATTATGTACACATAACAATGAACTCAACTGTAAAATATCTTTCAGACTTGCAATAATTTTAAGTTCAAAATTTTTCCAATAAAAAAACTTACAATAATGTTTCAACAAATGCCCCTTCCACATGATGCATTTCAGGAGCATCTTCTGTAGGATCTGCTGACTCAATTCGTAATTTATTTATCTGCCATATAACAAGTAAAATGGAACTCAATCTAGAGCAATTTTGAGATGAATTTAATGATGCTACCCTGAGACACATGACACACTCACAAGACATGAAAAAACAAGAAGCTTTAGAAATTGCCAATTAATTGGTTTCACACACATCCGGAAGTGTGCACAGGATTACACACCCAGACCCATTAACGAATCTCCTAACTTTCTCATTAAACATTGGTGACATTTCTATCTAAATAGAACAGAAGTACCAAAACCTTTGCGACAAGGCGTTAGTGAGTTGAGTTTCCTCAAATTACCAGTACCAGAACCTGGTAACAGTAAGTAACGTAATAAAATTGTATCATTTTATTTTTTGTGATTTTTTGAGAATATATTATCTGATGAATTTGTAGCTTTTCTTATTTCTTTAATCACATATTCAAGCATGCCCTTTTTAACAAACAATTTGAAGTTTGGACAGTGCATAAAAACATGAGATGGAGGTAAATAGCAATTACAAAATTAGCATGAGACAGGAACTGCAACAGTAAAGGTGATATCAAGAATGTGTTTTACCACTCATTTATGTTTATTGGCCTTTGATCCTAAGAAAGAGTCTCCATAAAGTTTTTATATTCATGATTCATGAACTTCTTTACTTGTCCAAAGATTTGTGGTCTTTATATTTTGTTTCAGTATTTCAGAGAATAAGAGAAAACATGAACCGGCAAAACAACAAAATGTTGAGAAAGAAACAAAACTGAGAAACGATTTCTTTTACATCCCAGAATATGCAAATAAGAATAATATAGATTCCAAAGTCATACATTGCTCAAAAACTGGAAAGCCATGTGAATCCCGTGATGTTCCTTAATTTAAATAAAAAGACGTATGATCTGTAAAACAGAGTCATGATAACAATTTTCATTAGCATCACAATAAATTTATGGAATAAGTGGACAAAACACAAAGCACAAAAGCTGCTTACAATGATTTTGTTTGTAAGATAGATCATGAGGTGTTGCAACAAAACTTTTAAATAAATAAATAATGGATACCAAATAACAGATCTGCTGACACGTTTTAAAAAGTCCTTAGAATTTACTTCTACGACTCTCAGTTAGGCCAACCTACACCTGAAACATTACTCAACATAAATAAAAAGTCTGCTAAACCTTAGGTCTAACTTAACTGACTGCAGTTCAAATACCTTATCCCTATCTCGCCTCTTTCTATGATTGTGCTTTTCTACAATACAATTGAAAAACACAAATATAATATAAAAAATAATTAAAAGCTTCATTTCATATTGGGAAAAAGATCAGCCAAACTTCAAGTTCAGGCCACTATGACCAAGTTCAAATTAGGCTCCACCAATAAATTTCAGGATGGGCGGGCATTCAGGTGGCAGCTAAGCCCAGTTAAATATCTGGAGGATTAGTAGCAACCTCTTGTTTACAAATATATACAACGGCATGTGATATCAGTCACCTCCAGCATTACTGGTTTGCAAAATAAGGCAGAACAATCCCTTAAAATTAAAGCCTAGATAATAGAACAGAAATGCTCATCATCATTGAAATTCATAAAAAATTTGACAACAATTCTTATTCCTTGCTCCAGTAAGGCACAATGCAACACTATCGAGAATTATGTCAAAATACTTCCTCTAATCTGGAAAAGTCACATCAGTGTGGTTCAAGAACAGGCATCAGATCAAGGGTTACATGTTATCTAAGGTAATATTGTCCTTAAACCCAATTGACTTGCAAATACGCTCAATGTACTTTTAGTTAGAAGACATTATCACAAGCATTGAATAAGATAGAGAGAAGCATTACCAGACTGGATACATCATCATTACTCATGGGAGCTGCTGGGATTTCGCCATCATTCATTTCAATCATCTTGATGAACTTCGTAGAGAACAATATCACCCCAAATCTCATGGAAGATTATTCTCATACAAAGAAATAATCATGTCAATGGACTACAAATACCAAAGGAGAAAAAAAAACATGAGCAATTCCTGTGATAATGAAATGCAACAAGAAACTCAGATTAGTTGACAGCTATTAAATACTTGCCTCAAGACCGCAAGCTGAACCAGGATCCAAAACAAAAACTGCATGGAACAGGTTCTTACGAATGTAACATAGCTGTCCAGGGAAGACAGGCATCAAAATCTGGAACGCAGCAAAATAAAAGACAAACCATTTAATGAAAATTCCAATGCATACAGAAGCCATCTAAAGTGCCTGATCTAGTCATAAAGCTATTACAGATTTGAACAAAATCTAGTGTAACTCATTAATATTGCTCCGCCATCGCTTGTACATAGTACCTCATTAATATTTGGTCAGATTTCAACAATAAGGGAAATGGTCTTCCCAAATGTCAATACATTGTCTGTGTCTGTGCTTCTGGCAGAAAAGGGAGACTGAGGGTTGGATTTATTAAATGCAGGAGAACTAGGAAGAAAAGTTTGTGGAGACAAGTAGGTGATGTCCTCAAGCTTCTAGAAAATTATGTTTATAAATCTAATCCAAAATTGTAGTTTTTGCTTTTCATAGGGAAGGCAATCTGCTAAAAGCACCAAAGAAGGTGTAACATGGTAGGTCTATCTACTGTACAAGATGACTTGCACCACTAGGAAGTTATGTAATCAAATTTAATTCCTTGTAAAACATGAAATTAATAAAGAAAAATATGCAATTGCCAAAGATAGCAAATTTGAGTTCAGCTCAAATTTAGATACCAGAAAGGAGTAGAAACTTACCATAACAAACAGCAGCATATAAATCAGGAAATCTGTAATTGATAAGTGAAAACTTTCCTAAAACAGAAAATACACAAAATTGATAGCCTAAACAAATGCATTTGCACAAAAGCCAACTTAGGTCACAACATTGGTTGGACTATTATGTTTCTCTCCCGGTCATCCCCTCTGAGTGTCTAGATGTGTTTTGATTCTCAAATGTACCTAAGACTATCTGGTCAACCCTTACACAAGTAAACGAAAGGAGATGAGCTTAATCATACTACTACTATCTTCATCCAACCCCAACACACCTATAGTCATGTACAACACACTGCTTAGCATCTTACCTTACGCTACCCATCCTTGACTGCCAACTTGAAATGCTCAACAGCAACCTCATCCCCTCCTCCCACCACCACACTAAACACAAAAAAAAACAAGATATTTGCACATGAGATTGCTTCTTTCAGATTCATGAAGATTTACCTGTAAAGCCATGCACTTTATGCAAACAGGCATAGATAACAGTAACTTTTTGAATGAAGAAAGAAATTAAGAGATTAAGCACCAAATCAGAAAAAAACAGGCACCCAAACTTGTAGGCACATGTTCCGCAACAACACTCCTTTATTTGTTCATTTATTTATTTTTTTAGAATATATATACTCATTAGGAGTGTACTTCGGGATATGTATCAATAAAAGTTGCTTTAATTTTAAAATCAGACAACTATGGCATCATGGATAATAAAAAATAATAATACTGAAAAAAGGAAAACAAGGAAAAAGATAGGTAGAAGAAGATTACAGTCAAATATTAGGCACAACATGGTGCAGATCGGGATCCTTCTATTGGTCTGTCCACAAGAACCATCCCTGCAGGATTCTGAGCAGGCTGAGCTCAAGGCAACCTCTTAGCTATTTACAAAAAAAAGCCATGTAGAAGGTCATTAGCAGTCAAATTTTGACAACAAAAATTAGTACGTCAAGAACTAAGAGAAACCATACCAACAACAATGCTAAAGGCAATATACGAATCATAGACTGGAAATTAATCTACCATATATACTAATGACAGGGTTAAAATATGATCCATCCATTAATAGGCAATTTTTTATCCATCTATCAAAGGCAACAAAAATTTGAACCAATTTTTAGGCATCTGGATGTATAGATGGTATAGATCTTTAGTATACAGGTTGTACCTCCTTGACACCTCTTCTTAAATAATTGTATACTGACCAAAAAATAATTAGGTAAAGCAAGGTGAGATGTTATCCTTAAAAACAAAATGATTCAAGATCAACTCTTAATCGGCTCCATTAAAACTCATTTGAGATTGGCTCAAATGAGTGATATGGTTCAACTATTTATTTTAAACCAATAAAAATCCACATGCCCATAGGCTTGCCCTAAGAGCTCTAAATAATTTTCCCTTAAAAAATGCAGTGAACTACTGTCTTTAACCCTGTAACACAACCAAATCACTCTGAAAAAGACTTGGGATTAATAAGCAGAATTTTAACCACAATCTCGTGGTGCATTCGTTTATTTTAGCTTTCTCCCATGCAAATGCCAGCTAACGGAATTGAAAATTAAGGAAATTGCAACAATGCTCCTATTCAATTGTATGTACCTAGTTAGAATCACAAAAATAAAGATCTTTTCTAGTTCAAAATGAAGTTGAAAATGTGAAGTCACTGGTAATTTTCAAGACGATTGTGCTCTCTCCACACTGACTAAAAAAACAACTTGAGTAATTTTTAAGCTCTGATGATATTTCATGTTATATTTGAGTTTGGCATTACTTTTATTTATTTATTTATTTGGGGTAATCAGATCCTTGTCAAGGATCTTCACCACTCCCCGAAGATGTTCCAGCCAACACAGAACAGGGAACATATATGGTCTAGTTCTTTTAACAAACCTGAGTTAAATTAAAATTCACATCAAAAGGATCGAGAAATACATATAATTAAAATTCACATCAAAAGGATGAGGTAAACAAAAATCAAACAGAATGAGTTAAATTAATTTTATTAATTCAACATTAAAACTAATTTTTGGCTACAATCTGTATTAAAAACTCAATACTACTTGAAGGATCGAGAAATACCTTGATAGAGAGTGAATTAACCAATCGATGTCTTCAAAGTAGCAGAAATCTGCAAAAAATGAAGAAGAAGGTGAAGAATCAACCTATAGAAAAACTGCATCCATGACAATGTGCAGGCCAATCGAACAAAAATGTGAACTACTTATTGTGTTCTTCATAGATCTACAATATATATATACTATCGTATACCCATGGCTGAAGGCACGGTACAATTAATTATGAGATTAAAATATAAATCAAAATTATAGAGGAATGTATTCAAATTTTTTGTTTTTTGTTTTTTTTCTTTTCTTTTCAAAGAGTAGGTAACGAATTCACGGGAAAGAGAAAAATTCATAAATGAAGACATGAAACTTAAATAAAGTACCTTCGCCGACAAACTTTTTTAGTCGCCAAATCTCAATCAACTGCGACTAAAATATTAGTCGCTAAAAATACAAATTTGGCGACTAATTTTTTTTGTTGCTAAAAATAAGTTTTTGACGACCAAATTTTTGGTCGCCAAATAATATGTGACCTTCTGCGACCAAATTTGTAGTTGGTCGGCAAAAGTATACCACTTTCTGCGACCAACTTATTTTTTCGTCGCCAAAATATAACCTTCTGCGACCAATAATATTTGGTCGCCAAAAATAATGATCATTCGTGACTAATTAATATTTGGTCGCCAAATGTCTTTTTTTTGCGACCAAAATTTTTTTGGTCGGCAAAAGTGGTCGCAAAATGTGTAAATTCTTGTAGTGATGAATCCGAGTAGAAGAGAGTCGAGCAGTCCTCGCTGAATCGGGCTTATTAATCTGCATACTTGGATTTTAGATATGGGGCCACCACTGTTGGAAAGCTCACTTTTGGGGCTTCAGTTTGCACTTAAGAATCTCTTAAAGCCAAGTCCGAGTGGGGGAGATATGATCAGTTGAAGTTGGGCATCATCCCGGTTGGATCGAATCTGCGCGGCTTCACCAAAAAGGGCATAACTTTTTGTACAGGATGAATTTTAATGCAAGGTTTGCGCCATTGGAAAACTAACTTCCGGGGCTTTAATCTAAACACCCACCGGCTACTTTTTGACCTTGGAAGCATCTGTCGGCAATCTATTTATCCGACCGGCAATTTATTATGCCGACCGGCCATTTATTTTAGCTGACCGACCATTTTTGCTGGCCGACGACCTTCCGAAGTATTCTGCAGATTGAGTGGATGCCAGCTGTGCCAGCTGGAGGGCACAGACTGGATCCTCCATACACGTGTATGGAGGATCTTTGCTCTTGGTTTGAAGCTTCTGAGAGAAGCTTTAGTCTCTTGGCTCTTTAAAGGAAGCTCTCCTCTTCCTTATACCAGGTTAGAAAACCAGCTGGAGCATTATAATCAATCCTCCATATATCTATCTCATCCAAGCCTCCAAACCCTAAAATCCTTGCTCCATTTGCACTACACCCTATAGCACCACACCACCACTCCATTCCAGCAGCTTGGAGGGCCTTCTCAGAGCTTTGGAGGCACCTTTTCTCAAGCCAAAACGCTGCTAAAGTTTGGTCTTCATGGGTGAGCAACATTTCCTCTCTTTTAAGCTTATTTTTGTATCCTTTTTGAGACATGCATGCTTGCATATTTGGGCTCCGACCCTAACTGGAACTAGGTTTATTTTGAGCTACTTTTCATGTTTGTTTAAGGGCCTCTCACTGTTTGAGGCCTCCTTGTTGCACTTGCTTCATTGCCTCTCTTGTATGCCATATTCTTGTGTAGTATTTTAGGCCTATGTATAAATTGTTTTGAGGCATGTCATAAACTGTAAAGTTGCTCATTTTGAGCCCTTCTTCAACATTGTTGAAGGGATCATCACTGTTTGAGGCTTCCATTTGCCACTTGCCTTTATATCTCTCTTTTGGCTCCATTTTTGCATGATTTGTTAGCCTCTTATGCCTCTGTTTTTTGAGCTTTAGTCCAAACTATAAAGGGCCTTATTTTGACCCCCTCTTCATGTTTCCTTAAGGGTCTTTTACTATTTGAGGCATCCTTTTTGTACTTTGTGTTATAGCTCTCTTTTTGGCCTTGTTTTGCATAAGTATTTTGAGCATACTTGTGCACTGTTTTGGGTTTGATCATAAACTGAAAAA